AAAAAGCCAATTCCCAAATGTTATATACTGCATGGATCTGTTTGCCTATATGTTACTCACAAATGATAAAATTATAAAAATGGAAAGCAGACCAGTGGTTGTCATGGGCTAAGAATGTGGTGGGAAGGGCATAATAATGGATGTGACTATAAAAAGTCCAACATAAGGATGCTGGACACTGGCCATGACAGCAATCCCAGTGACTTGGGAGGCTAAGGCAGGAGGACCGAAAGTTTGAGGCCAACCTCAGCAACTTAGCAAAACCCTTAGCATCTTATGAAAACACTGTCTCGAAATAAAAAAGACTGGTGATGTAGCCCAGTGGTAAAGTACCCCTGGTTCAATCATCAATATCAAAAAAAAAAAAAAACAAAGAACAGAAGTGCAAGGGATCCTATAATGATAGATATGTTCTATATTTCAACTGAATCATTGTCAATATCCTGATTGTGATATTCTCTAAGATTTTTGTAAGATATTACCATTAGGAAAACCTAGGTAAAAGGTATATGGATCTTTCTTTACTATTTCTTATAACCAGATGTTTATCTATAATTACCTAAAAATAAAATGTTTCTTAAAAAACCTTAGTCTTTGAGACAAAGTTAGACAACTTTGGGCAAGTCACTTCCCTTCTCACAGGGCTAAAAGAATTAAATTAAGAAATCAATGGTCTAGGCTGGGGCACTGTAATCCCAGCTAATTGGGAGGCCAAGGCAGAAAGATCACAAGTTCAAGGCCAGCATCAGCAACTTAGCAAGAACCTAAATTAAAAAAAAAATAAAAAAAGAAATAATGGTCTAGAGATAGTGCATGGCACAGAATATGGTCCAACAAATAGCTAATAAAATGCTTATCTTAAGAGTCTTGACAATGGGGATGGAGAAGTATAAAGCAAAATATATTTAGATGATAGCACTAATAGATTTTGGTGAAGGATTAGATGTGGAACAGTGGGTTGACAGAGAGTCAAGGATGATTCTTAAGTTTCTCATTTGAGCAAGCATCATCAGTGGCACCATTTACTAAGCAGAAGTGAAGTGAAGTGAAGAAGAGGGAAACAGAGTTTTGGGTGTGGTGAACTTGCATTAACTGGGAGATACTCAGATAGAAAAGCCCAGTTAACTGTAGGATATTCAAGTCTGGAGTTCAGAACAAAACTCTGGGATGGAAATTTAACTTGATAATGACCAGAATGCAAATGATAGTGGAAGGCAGAACAATGGACAAGATTGACAAGGGCATAAACCACAAAGCTACTGTTACTGTAAAGGAGTTCCAACCTGGCTAAAGGAGATCAGTCTAGTGTAGGAGATGGAGAGCAGCCAGAAAAGGAGAAAAATCAGACAAAAATGGTGTTGCTCAAGACCAGAGGAAGATGTTTCAAGAGTGAGTGGTCAACTGCAACCAAGCACTGAAGAGATTAATTAGAATGAGCAATGAATCATCATCCTCTGAATATAGTGACCTGGTGTTTTCACTGGTGCCTTTTTGAGAATAGCTTTGGTGAAATGACAAATAGGTTTGGATTAGAGCTGGCTGAGAGGGAGGTGGGAAAAATGAAGACAGTTTAAACAACCATTAACAAGTTTAGCCCTGAAAGCAAGCTGAGTAGGAAGGGGTAGAATGCAAAGAGAATTCTGTTAAAAGAAGTTAAGCTTAAATGATAATGTAAATGAATAGGTGAAGGGGAGAAGTTAGATTCATGACAGAAAGTGTGAGAATTATTTGAGTAGGGAGGAGTGAATATGATTCCAAGTACAGGTAGCAGGATTAGCTCAGAGAGAAGGGGCATCTAATCTGCTCTAAGAAGAGGGGAAAAGGAAAGGAACCATGTAGACACAGGTAATTTTGGAAATTTAGTTATAATGTGTTATGGGCTATTTCTTGATTACCTCAGCTCTTTATGTAGGAGAAGGAAAGTATTAGCTAATTCTAAATAAATGGGTTAATATTTATTCCTAGAACCTAATATAGTCCCTGGGACAGGCATATTTAATAAATTCATTCAATAAAATTTTAAAAATCAGTGTTAACCTCATGCAGGTGTTCATCAGGATACAAAAATTTTAATTTCGCCACTAGGGGGCAGTGCTGCCACAAATCTCACCACCCCCCCATGATAGTGAAAATTAACAGAAAACTATACTGCAGTGTATGTTGTTTTCCTGCTAAGAAAATCCTGTTTAAGCTTTACATACATGTACATGTTTGTGCCTATTCACACATGTGATCCCCCCCCACACACACACATTAAGGCACACTGAGAGGGTTGTTTTGTCTACCAGCCTTCTGGTGCAACCAAATCATGATGCCCCAAGGGCTGTACTCAGCATTTTCCAGTCTTTTTTTTCTTTTTTGGTAATTCCCCTAGGGAATACAGCAAATACCTCAAAGACCTTTACACTTTCTTATGTTTGGTTAATTAGAAAAGGATGATGAGGAAATAAAATTCCTAAAAACCAATCTCTAATACACCATAGCTTCTTCCATGTTGTCTTTCCCCCTCTACCTACCTCCTCCTCAAATTAAATGCAGTAGGGTTTCAAAAATAATTTAAATGTACTTCATAAATTACTTTCCCCCTAATCTCATATATCTGAGGTATTCTTATAATGGACTTATTTATCAGTTTATAATACCACATGTCTATTATGCACATCAGAAGCAGAAGCAATGGAGCTGGGAAATAATTCTTTCCAAGTTTGTGTCTAATGAATTTGGGCCTCTAACAAACTGAGGAAACTGGCAGAGTTCTAACTTACAATAGAGTGCATAAATTATTATTATTATTATTATTATTATTATTATTATTATAGGTAAATGTAAAGGCAGGCTGCTCCCCAGAAGTTTAGGGTTAAACAGACTGGCTGTTCCAACAAGAGGAACTGAACTCCATAGTGAAAGAGGCTTCTTGTTGAACTAGTGGAACATATCACACCCCAGTTTAAGAAAGGCTATCACTAGTTTGGTCAGATGCCTTATGGGTGGGGGCCACAGGAAAGAGGGGAAAGAGAGAGGCTGAGGTCATCATATGACGCCAGCTGTCAGGTAATTCCAATGGGTGAAAAGATGCTTAACACAAAAGGCTTTAAACTTGGTTATTTTAAGTTAAAGTTGTTTTTGAGCAAAAATAAATACCCAAGAAATGGGTCATTGAGTCTGGGTAATAGAGTTGAAACAGTCATCATTATAGATACAGAGTCAACTTGTTTGCAAGTTGTTTCAAAACCAAAGTTTCAAGGTTCTTTGGGGTAGTGTTCTAATTTGAGAATTAAGGATCGCTTTTTTTTTTTTTTTAAACTGGACACTCTATTCCTCTAGCTAGTATGGAATTTACTTTTACAGATACTTTTTGGAAGTTCTTTAGAATGAAGGTTTTTTTTAAAAAAATTATAAAAATGTTAATACCAAATTACTCCTTCTTACCCCTAATTTAAAAAATTAAATTTGCCTAATGATCTGATCCACCTCTAAACAAGAAAAAAAAGTTTCTTAGTAATTATAATACTTGGGCTACATCAGCACCCCAGAAAATCAGCTTTAAAACTGAAGAAAACACCGCCTCACCCTACTATGTTAAATCTATGCCTCCTTTCAAAAGTCACGTGCTAAATCCTTATTTTTTTTTTCCCAGCAAATGATCTAAGCAAGAGCCTGATTTCATTGACACAAGCACTCCCAACAACAACACTTCCTTTGAAAAACAGAATGTCACTTCCTCAGACCAGAGGCCAGAAGTCCCTTGATTCTGATCTCAGGAGCAAAGACAGGAAACTGGTGAGCTTCTCCCCCAGGGTCAGCCTCTGGTGCAGGGACAAGAGGACAGGGTGTATTCAGAGCTCCCTTGATGCACTGCAGCTGGAAAGCAAAAGCTCACTTCCAGGTTGTGGGGGTGATCCCCAGAGTACAGCCCCACAAGTCAGTGTAGCAAGGGCATTCACGGAAGCGAGGAGGGAGAAGATGGAAGACCTTGCACTTTTTAGCGACCTTCTTCCATTTCGAAATTCCTGAGAGTACTCCAGGACCGATTTCAGCCTAAGTAACTGGCACCCTCTTGTACTTTGACCTCACTAGGCGAGACATCCTTTGGGTTGTGCCGAGCCAGAACTCTACACCGCTCAGCTCCAGTCTGTACCACCTTCCCCAGATGCTGCCAGTTTCTCACCTAGAGGGGAGAGGCTGTCCCAGCAATTTCAGTAAACACTGTCGGTTAGCACCACCTGGCAACTGAAAACCTTGATCTCTCCCGACCCTAGACGCCAAGGGCTGCACAACACAAAACCCTGACCAGTTAGCACAGACCAAACTGCAGTGTCACCATGGGGGGGGGGGGGGGGGGGGGGGGGGGGGGGGCGGCGTATGTGAGAGACATACAGAATAAAGAAGGGGGACAAACAAATGAGTCACTTAATACAAGGGCTGCACATGCCGCTGACGCTGCCCGTGATGCGGCGGCTGTGGACTGGAAGGAAGCAGGCGGCCGCCCGGGAGGGGCGGGCGGAGAAAGGCAAGGGGAGAGGGCGTGAGGCGCCTAGCCCTTTGTGGGGCTGGGCGGCGCGGCCCCACAGCCTACGCCCCCCTTTCCCGCCCACTCCCCAAATCCTGCAGGCTGAATCCGCTGGGGGCTGCCATGGTCCCCCGATCCCGGGAGTCAACTCTCTCGTTCTCCAAAAACAATCAATACAAACTTCGATACAGTATTGAGTTCACAGGGAGGCTGGATGGGGAGGTGCCGCCAACACACCCGCCTAGCCCACGAGGAGCTGCCGCCCCAACCTGCCGCCCCGCCCCTCGGCGGCGCACCTGTGACAGGTGTGCAGGTGCCCCACACGCCCCAGAGCCGCGGGGCGCGCCGGCCGCCCCTCGCCCCCCAGAGGCCCCAGGTCCGCCCTGTCCGCGGCGTGCGGCGTCTCCGGGAGCCCCCAGTCCCTCGGCAGGCCGCGGGACGCCCCCCGCCCGCCCCAAGGCGGCCGCGCCCGGTCGCCGCCCGCACTCACATAGCGCCTCAACTTCTTCTCCGGGGGCGATTTCCTCAGCCAGCCGGTGCACACCACGTCGCCGCCGCCGCTCATGTTGACCGCCGACTGGAGCCCGCCGCCGGGTCGCGCGGACAAGGGCGCGGGCGCAGGCTGCTGGGTCAGCCGGCCGGCGGTGCGCAGCTCGCGGGGGAGGGGAGGGGCCGGGCGGCCGGCGGCCCCGGGCGAGGACGAGGCGGCGCGGCGCGGGCCCGACTGCCCCGCGCGCGCCCGCTCTGCCCCCCCCCSCGCGCGCGCGATCCGCACTCCCAGGCAGCCCGGCGGGGGCGCCCCAGCAGGAAGGCGGGCGCGCTCGCCACGCCCACAGCCCGCAGCGCCCCCAGGAGAGAGGCCTTCAGACGCAAACCACCCGGCGGGACCCGGGAGGCCGGAGTGCTGGGAGGGGCGGGAATCCAGTCAGCACGCCCCCCGGGTCTTGTTTTTTTCCTGAAGCCTCAAAGCGGCAGCCTCAAGCGCCTCGCCCCTGATCATGGTGGTGGGGTGTGTGAAGGCTGTGCACCCTGCCTCGCACGTCGATTTTACAGGGAGGGTCTTCAGGGAAAGGCTCTGAGAGCTGCTTGTGTTACTTATCCATTCCTGTAGTTTCAGGTTTCAGCAAGGTCAGGTTCTGACTGAAATTAGTGACCTGCTTCCCAGAGAGTTTATTAACTCTTGCACCCACTCGGGTGCAAGGAAAGGAAGCCGACCTACTAAGTATGGGGAGTATTTACATCCCTTGTTTACTTTATTGTCTTCACACCTCTACAAATTGGGCAGGCAGTATTATTCCCATTTTACAGATAGCCTAAGGTCTCAAAGATAGTACAATGCAAAGTTTCTAATTCAGGTGGGGGAAGGGAGGAGGGTCCTGCTCACCTGCTTTTCAACGTGAAGAACTGCTTTACTGTCTGCCGATAACTTGGGAGCCTTTTATAGCCAAGAAACAAAGTCCAGCTGGCTCTGTCCCCATTGCCTCTGGGAAAGCAGGATTCAAAAGAAAATTCGTATGATTTGCAGAGCCAAAGCAAAAATTAGTCAATGTATTTCATAGAGAAGTCATAGGCAAGTCGGTGTAGAACAAGAAACTGAAGTAAAAATTCCCAGAGTTTCAATTCCTGGACACAGGCTACCTATGAGACTTCTCATATGTAAATTGAGATATAATGATACCTTTCTCACTGCTTTGTGGTGAGGTTTAACTCAAAAGTGTGTGAAAGTGAACACCTAATAACATTAGTACTTCAGGGGAAGGGTTAAAAATATTTTTCCCCTAGGAGCTCTTTTTTTTTTTTTTTTTTTTTGGTGCTGCTGGAGATCTTTTTGTTTTGTGCTGCTGGAGATGAACCTAGGGCCTCAGGCATAGCTAGGAAAGCGCTCTACCACTGAGCTACATTTTCAGTCCCAGGAGCCATTTTTAATTCAGAGTGCCTTTTTAAGCAGCATTAAAAGGTAGGTCCTACAGAGTGTGGTGGCACAGGCTTGTAATCCCAGTGACCCTGGAGGCTGAGGCAGGAGGATCACAAATTCAAGGCCAACCTGAGCATCTTAGTAAGACCCTGTCTCAAAATAAAAAGGATTAGGGATGTAGCTCAGAGGGAGAGAGCTTCTGGGTTCAATCCCCAGTACCACAAATAATACATTAAAATAAAGGTTGATCCTCCTCTAACTTCTTATACTTGGACAGTAACACATATTATCAATAGGGAATTGTGTTGCAGACAGATCAGTTGGAGAACCAGCATCTTGCACTGCCCCATGGCAGTCGAGGTGTGACTGGAATAAGAGCTCCCTTAACCTTTTAATTTAGGTATCCTTAAACCAAACACAAAGACCACCATCAGAACACAGCCACGTCTAACTTCTGGCTTTAAGGACCTTCAACATCAAAATACTTTGTCTTCCAAATTAATGAGGAGGCGGTGGCGCCCAACCAAAATAAAGCAATCCTGACTTCATTCACATCTGAGTCATGGTGCCAAGTCTCCAGAATTGCAGTCTGAGAAATCTGCATGGTTTGGCTGCAGCTAAGGTTTGTGATGGAAGTCAGACAGACATATGCCCTGTGTTTCCCTGGGAGAGTAGTCTTCTTTTACATATCCTCTGAGAGTTATATGATTCAGAACACAAACTGGGAAACTGTTCAGCAACAGTTAGCTGGGGTTAGGTTGCATTCTGCCAGAAACTCTTTAGGGTCTGATTTTGTTTGGTAAAAGACCCTGTGATGTTATTCCCAATTCTGTATGGAAAGAGAAAAGTTTAATGTTTTTGGAATGCAACAGTTACAGAGTATGTTCTCACCCATCTTTTCCCAAAGGTCAGAGAAAGGGACTCTTATGGGTGTTCTTCTGCCCCCCACTCCACCTGCTCTTCCTCATCACTATGCTGCCTTGCTCCGGCTACACAGAGAGCAAAGACTGTGGCTGAGGTTCCTGGCTGTAGGCTGAGGTCCCTGGCTATAGGCTGGAGTGGCTCAGTCTCCTAAGCTGGAGAGGCATGTCAGGCCTGGAAACAGCCCTTGAACAGAACGTTCCTGTCTGGACCTTTAGTAAGTCCTCTCCATTCCTTGCTGTTTTTTTTTTTTTTTTTTTTTCCCTCCCTGGAAAAATGGAAAACAAATTATGTGAATGATTTATTTACATGAGAGTGGGCGCCATCTATTGGAAACATCTGGGGTGACAGCCCCCCACAATCTGTAAGGACATGTATCGCCAGCCTATAATGTAGGCAATTTTTGATTAAAGACCACTGGTATTTCCTGGGGAAATTAATGACCAGCTCCAAGAGTGCTTTGGGCCATTTATTCTATATTCTCATTAAATTCCCAGGAAATGACCATCTTACAGGGAAGAGCATTGAGGAGATTAGAGAAAATGCCCTCCTAGGGGGAAAGCATGGGTACCACTTTTGCCCTGCTCCTAGTCACTCCTCTCTCCCYCTTCTCCACAAAGCCTAGGTTCTAAAGAGTGCAGTGTGGCTTTGAATGTCGTCAGCAACAACCCGCATCCGTGCCTGTCTCAGAGTTGAGGGTTTGTGGTGAGTGGCAGGTGCATGGCTGGTGGACTGCTCCAAAAATGGGCTGGGAGGGCTGGAAAGAGAGCTGTCCTCAACTGCACACCAGGCTGGAGTGATTAACACCATTTACTCCAGGCCTGACGTCAGTGATTGGACTGGGGGTGGGGATGGATGTTTCTGTCTTAGCCCTTCTGTCTTTTCTCCCTTTCAGTCTAGTTGACAGGTCAATTTCAGAGCTGAGGGCTGCTTGCCAAAGTCAGTGTGACCTGCTGATCCATCTCATTTGGTGACTTTCAGGACACTCACCTCTCAGGCATATTGTGTGTGCCTCCTGGTTGCTTTGAGACCACTTATTCCCTCCATCAAAGTACCTTGGGACTTACTCAAGTTAACTCTTGGCACCAGGCTGAAGATGAGATGTGGAAGTGGGCTTGAGGTGTGGTTAAAGACTTAACTGGTGTTCCTCCTTGTCTGTCGCTGCAAATAATCTACTTGAACTACTTGAAACTACACTGAGTGGGAAATATTTTGGAAATAAACTTCCTTAAAAAGTTTGAGTAAGTCCACTTTCCCAATTTCTCTTTGTGAAAAACAGAACCAGTGCTAATTGCTTTGTGGCAATTAGGTTCCCAGGACATTGCTGCTGACACTGGAGAGGGCAAGAACATCACTGTTGCACAGAACCTGCTGCAAACTCAATTGTTACATTCTTCCAAGAACAGACTATCAAAGCCCCTGGAAAAGTGCCTCCGTGCTCCAAACTACACTGTCCATTCTGGCCTCTCGCTTGTAGAAAGAAACTCCTAGCTTAAATTGGACTAGAAACGTAGGTCAATGCCCTTTCCCCTAAAACTTACCATTCCTACTTAATTATTCAGTTTTCTTGTCTAGAAACTATGAGTTCCTTGAGGGCAGGACTGTGTTGTCTTTATTTTTGTATCCATAGAGCCTCTAGCAAAGGAGCCAAGCACACCATAAAGGATCATTAATTGTCTGTGAGAACAAAGGAATCAACCCTTAAAGGATAATAGATGAGAGCTGTGGCCCACTGGAGTGTCCAGAACCCTAAGTCATCCATACCAGAGAACAGTATCTGTGATGGTACTTATAAACAATTGGCGTGTTTACAACATAGTTACTGGCCCAACTGAAAGGCTAAGCAGGTGGAGGGAATCCTATGTGGTACCACTTTTAAAGATGGCTGTAACACTCAGGAAGTTCCAAAACAGTGGCTCTTGCAGGGCTTGGAGGCTCATGCCTGTAACTCCAGCAACTTTGGAGGTTGAGGCAGGAGGATCACAAGTTTGGCACCAGCCTCAGTAACTTAAGGAGATGCTAAGTTATTTACTGAGACCTTGTCTCAAAACAAAAAATAAAAAAGGCTGGGGATGTGGCTCAGTGGTTAAGTGACCCTGGGTTCAGTCTCTAGTACCAAAACAAAACAAAACAAAAAAAGAACCTGGTTCTTTTGACCTTTTGACTTTTATCCTAAGGCTCCAGAGAGCTAACTCTGTTGACCTTTGATTTCCAAACCCTACACTGATACTCTCTTCTTTGGGAACAAGAATAGAACCTTTGTGGTTTTTCTAACATCAGGCTTCACTGTGACAGTTGAATGGCAGCTCTAGCACTGAATCCCTCATATCTAGCAAAGCTGGAGAAATTAGGTCCCCAATTCAAAGTGATCTCATCTGATAGATGCCCTTTCCTCCTGCATCAATTGCTTATAACACGGCTGTGCAGACTTGCTGGTCTTTTTTTTTTTTTGCAGGGGATCCAAAGGCCTCAGGTGATCATCTCATTTGACTGTGTTTCTATCACAGGTACCCCTTATGGAAGATAATTTCCTGACCCACAGCCAGGGTCAGGTGTTGTTAAATGGTTAAAAACTGGCTCTCTGGTGGTGGTGGTAGCTTGACTTATAGTATAGGCCAGTTTTTGTGGTATACACACCCCACTGCACTCCCCAATGGACAGTTTCAAGCTGTCAACTTAATGTCACTGAATACAGTCAGGAGATGTACAGCAGCACACCATTGTTTAGTATTTCCAACATAAAGATACAGCAGATGTAAATAATGTCTATGGAAGAGAACATGGTTAAATGAAAAATAATTAGTAAGTGATGAAATT